CAAGGATACGGAATCAAAAGGGACAAGAGAGCGGGCTCCTGCTTTAACCTGAGAAGTCCACCTTCAAAGTCTTGCTTACATGCTTTTCGAGACTGATCACCTCTGGCTGCCACTGCTTTAGAATCTTAGTCCCTGAGAGCTTCTAAAAGAAGTTCCTAGCAGAAATGTTGTTCATCGTGAGTTTTGGTTGTATTTCATAATCAGGTCATAATCTTGCTTAATCTTTTCTGGATATGAATGCCTAGAACCAAAGCACAGAGAAATGCTTACCTGTCTTTTACTCTAGAAACTCTGAGGAAAATTTGGAAGCTTTAATTCATTAATTCACTAATAGCTTTTCTGTGCAGAATGTTGTTCAACCCTGCTTAGGTTTTAGTAGAAAGTCAATCATTTACACTTTCTTCTCTCTTTTGTAAAATTAACCATTTAGACTGACTGAGAAGAATCAAGCTCTTTTGTTTTGTTTAGTTTTGTTTCAGTAAAAGGAAATTTACCATGTTGGCACATGCCAGGCAGTTCTGCACCTTGACAATTCTTTATACCCCTAAGATGTAAGAAATCCATCACAACAACCCAAATATCTCAGACTCCACTCACAGACAAGTCTAAGGGTTATTCTTCACCCCGAAAAGCCATGTATCATGAGTACTTTTATTCATTCATTCAGTACCACACTTAACTCTGCTGATGTGGGTGCCCCTCACACAGCTTTTCAGAACTAGAAGCTTCTAAGACCTAAGAGAAGCCGGGTAACACGCTGTCAAAGCTTCGTGGTGGAACTGCTAGGGTTTCACACTGGTTTCTCCCCTCTGGGCCAGGCAGAGCCTCCCACCACCTGCCCGTTGCCTGTCTGCAGGAGTCCTTGTCACATCTGCTAGAGGGAGGCATCAACATCAGAGGATACAGGTCCAGGGTGTGACTCAGGAGCAGTACTCTCGCCTCGCACATGCAAGGCCCTGGGTTGGCTCCCCAAACCACCAAAACAAGCTTCCTCTCCCTTGCTCAGAAATTTTCAATGCCTTCCCATTCCCTTGGCATAAAAGACCTTAGCACCCACTTCCGCACCACTGGCCCAGCATTGCTCCAAGGTCCCAGCTTGGGGCTCTATCCTTACAGTTCCTGCTGCCAGCAACCTTTTCCTCCAGAGGTCTGACCCTTCTCCTTTCCTCCCTCCTTCCTTCAGAGTTCTCAATGTTACTTTTCCAGACTGCCCTACTTAAATAGCACTCTCTCTCCGTGCCTTAATTTCCTCCAGAATCTTAACTACCTGCGTAATTACACATTTACTTACGTCTGCCTTTCCTCACTAGAATGTAATCTCAACAACGTCCCTGTTGATTCTCAGTTCCTGGTCAACAGCAGGCACTCAAGACTTGCTTTAGCGCATGCTGGGTGCTCTTTCTTGGGAAGGTGTGTGACCAAGTTTACTAAGTCACACAGTAATTCAAGATGGGCATCATCATCGTTACTGTCATCATCTCTGATGAAGAAATTAAAGCACACTACTTACTATCAGTAATAAGGCAGAATTTGAACTCAAGACACCAGCCCTTTATAATCCCCATGATATATTGCACCACTCTTAGCTAATAGCAAATAATTACTGTAGTGCTTTTCCCTATACTAGACTCTTAGAAATTCAGATAATCAAAATATCAAGTTTCCTAAAATTGCCTAATATCTCAGAATAATAGATGTGATTTTTTTTCGAGCTCGGACTAATAAACAAGGGCAGAACAGGAACCACAATTACACCTCCCTTCGGCCTCTAATTCTGAGACCCATTTCCACGAATGCTCTCCGGATTACAGACATACTCAGGTAATTCTCCCCGCACCGTGGAGATTACCATAATTAGCTGCCATGATTAGCGCTGGTTCAGAAAGGCAAATCTCAAATACAAACGCTGCGGAGATGCCAAGCCTCACAAAGGGCCCCTTTGGGACTATAGCAACTCACTCAAGCCCCTTGCTTATTAGTGTGACGATTCACACAGTGCACTGGGTAAGCCGAGGATGTCACCTAATAGAGGGCATGTTGTGCAGCCTTATCTGAGAAGTTACATAATAATGCTAGAGTGGATATACCATAAGAGTCTGAGCTTTAGAATGAAAGAGAAGCGTGTGTATTCCCTGGGAAGTATTCCACAAAGAATGTCGGGAGATTTTTCGGAACTCATTACCCCAAACTAATCAAGTGAAGTAAACTAGCTGAGGACAGAGACCAGGCACCTGCTGAAGAAAGCTTCTTCTAGGACCCCGACACGGGTCTGCGCTTCCCTGGGGAAGAGAGCCTTGGTCGGTGTTCTGCAAACAGCCTTCTGCGAGCTTCGGACCCTCCGTTCTCTTTCTCCAACCGACAGTGAAACCAACCTTTCCTCCCACTCGGTTGAAATTCTCTGAAAGAAGCCACTCTGGGTCTCCTGCTTTGGAGTCTCCCATCTTCTCTCGACCTTGCTCCCCAACATCCCACCGGCCCCCCAGGATGCGGAAGAAGGTGAGTGATTAGGCAGCGGGCCAGGAGGGCCAGAAGTGTCCCCGGCACCTGTCACCTGGCCCACCTGGGCCCTCCCTCCCTCCCCGCCCCCCC